AGAAAACAGCCAACCAATCAGAGGAACATTGCAGGTTTGGATGGATCTATACCTAGGGTCAACATTTAACATTTTTTGAATGGCTGATTTAACCAATTGTTTAAATCTACAATGTACTTTCAGCTTCTTGCATCCCGCTCTTAAATCAGCTGTTGTGATAACATAAGCACAATGCATGTGGAGGCATGTTATAATTAGCAAGATTTTATAATCATAACTCTCCCATTTCAGCATGTACCATTTCTGTTTTGTCCCTCTGGGACATGGAAAACTATATTTTACCTGTCAACTCTTTTAAACTTTGGCTTTCGTTCCAAGGCGTGATAGTTCAGTACATTGAGGCAGGAGTGTGAATGTGTCCTTAATTCGCCAGTCTCACGTGAGACCTGAGAGCTATGTTATTTCTGTTAATGCATACACGTGACATGCCTAATGGAAACAAGCACTAAGCGCTTTCACAGCATGTAAACATACTTCAACTATGAGACCATGAATTGGGTGGTCTAAAAGCTAAATTAGATCACCCATACTCAAGGGCAAATGATTCATTAAGTTTTAATGTACTGCAACACGTGGGCCAACGTACAGGTGACCTGCTCAGATCATGTGTTATCTTTGTTCCAATCAGAATGGAATTTGGATATGCCTGTCTCGTTACAGCAAAGCTACAATTTGTTGCACTTCAAGGTAAATTGGCCAGGCCATGCTAATGGAATTGTAATTTATTTTAGATTAAATCGTTTCTTGAAACGTAATGCTATTTTGCATTTATAGACACAAAATAGCCCAGCATATGGCAAGAACTACATACAAAATATACCCAGGCAAAAGAAAACTAATATTTTCTCCAGCAAAACTCAAATGCAAAAAGAGACATGGCGATATGTGCATGTGTGTTTGTATCAATAACTTACTTTCCATACATATCAGGTATCAATATATCATATATCATAACACCTTGTATGCCTGTAGTTGATTACATTTTAGCATTGACAGTTTAATGCCCATGTCATATATTGTGATCCATCATAGTTGTAATGTGAGATTTATCTACACTGGGCAATTCCAGAGAGTGATATGGACATAGTTCATTTCTCTGTCATCTGTGATCAGACACCACAACTTGTGAAGGCCCTTGCCAACACTCGGAGGACATGAGACTGTAACGGGGCCATCTCACAGCCTCAAGCTGTGACCACCACAGCACGGCTTTCTAAAAGGCTGGAGTGTCAGGAGCCGGTCTGACCCTGAGCAGAGCGCACCGTTGTGACATCACAGTCACTCGCCCATATCTAAAAACATTTAGTTTATTAAAAGGTTTGTGCTTCACTGAGGAACAGGCCTCTTTGTCATGCTTAGGGTTATTCTACCCTTGAAGGATAATAGACCAACCTGGCATTTGTATGAATTTGGGTGATGTGTGAAAAATAGACACAAATATTTGCTGTACAGAAACACCTAAATAAATATAAACGTGAAAATATGTCAAAGAGTAATTAACATAACTGTATAAAGCAATTGCACTACAGTATATTACATATATAATACTGAACAGATGGAATCTACTGACTGGCATATGCATTTAGGGAAAATGATTTGAATTGCAGGAACAGGTTTCATACAGTACACATTTTGAGAAAACCATTCTTCTTTTAGATAACACTGAAATGTGTTTTTATATATATATATATATATATATACATTCCCTGGGTGTTTGTGAGTGTGGAATGTTCAGCTTCACAGAGGTCTGGCCATTAGACTGTCCAACAGAAGAGGAATTTCACAAAATTAAAAAATACCCATGATACCTCTGGGCTGCACTAGTCCATGATCTTTCAAAACGCTTCAGCCAGGTGGAAAATATTGTGCCCAGCAATGATTTGATTGGATTATTTTATGATAAAAGTATTACATTTGCAGAGCGGTGTCTTGAGCTCCTCTAATACATTTTTCACCAAACCTATGCTGGGTTTTGCCATTTAAAAAAGATCTCTTTAGTAGGGATTTTTAACCAATAAATTTGCCTCACAACTGCTAAACACTGACAATGCAGAAGGCTACATAAGCATTCATACATGATTAAGAGTGAGGCGTGATATTTTATCTCTGTCTAAAGGACCCAAAGACAAAGTGACAATCTGTGGTGCAAGTGAATCATTATAAGTATATTTTTTTAACTAATCTTTTAACTTCATAACATGTAAATATATATTTTAAATCTGCTGCTCAGATTAATAATACTTTGCTGCATTTAACAGTAGGAAGGCCCATAATGTAAGATGAGAAATACATTAAAAAGTGTTCCAATTCATACTGGCATGCAAAGAAACCAAACCTGATCTGTGTGTCTGAGCTGAAACCTTTCAATTGATATACACAAAAAACACAAAATTTCCATATATGTGTATATATGCTTTTTGATGTGTACTACGCTGTGGAATATGCAGATGATCATGCCAGAAGTGATAGTAATAATAATAATGCTATTTATTGTGCTGAAACCGATTCACGACGATGCAATAAAATGTCACTGAAAAGCAAATTACATTTTGGCAAAAACAAATGACAAATCAATGGACATTTGTTGTATTTCCGAATGCATTTATTAAAACTGACAACATACATTATTTTGTTCATTACATTTCAGCAACTCTGTCAGAAACTAGCCTAAATCATATTTGACAAAGGCAAAAACGTAAGTTCTCCCGCTTATATGAAACTAAATATGGTATTGTAAAATGGCAATACCAACAGTATAAACAAGTTTTTTTACTTTCGTGAGAGGGGAGACGCACTAAAACAAATCTTTTATTTTTGCAGTTGAATTAACGTGTAACATTTCAGTTCTGTTGTTGTCACTCAAACCAACAGAAGGCAAATATTTCAGCAACCAGTTTCAGAAATGTATCTAATGCAAGTTAATTCTTGGAGTAATGTGTTCGTGTTATAAAAGTATCTATATACATTCTTGACGGATAAGCTTTGGCGACAGGAAAAGTGGCAAACGAATCCCAAGGTAAATAACTCCTGAATCGTAGCCAAACGGTCCCATCGACACAGTCTAGTTTCGTAGGCTGCCCATTGCAGGAGAACATATTAGATGATGTTATCTTTCTGTCCATTTCTGACTATCATATGTCCTTGTCTGCGAACTTGTGCCGGGGCCGGAGTTGTGGGAAAGGCATCGTGTTGTGTGAAGCCAAACGTTTGCATTTAGCTTTTGTCCGTCTCCCAAAGTGTTTTTTTTTTTTGTTAATATGCGCCCACAATGACAGCCTCCACCTCTTTAGATGGTCTTCTGTCCGTAACCAAAAAGTTGATCATTCCCTCCGATTTAATGAGAAGGTTGCATCCTAAAAAGAAGATGCCGAAGACCACGGTCAGCGACAGCACGCACATGACTGCTATTTGCACAACTCGCATGATGAAGAGGCTCCTTTCGTCCGGAGCCGTAGCCACAAAACCATTATCTGTTACTACAGACGAGAAGTTGCAGCATTTCAGTATCCCTTCACTTCTGTTGGAAAAGAGTCCGCTGTCCGTTTGATTGAATGCTGTAGAATTCATTGCTTCTTACTTTGAGTGCGCCCGGAAAACGCCTAGAAACAGGTGGCCCTTACTTTTGAAATTTTGCAAAACATTCAACAATGTTTTATTTCGAAATCCACATTCCAATCCTGGAAAAAACTGAACTTTATATTGTGGAGCGAGGAAGAAACGGATGAAAAACAAATCTTGAGAAACCTCTTTGTTTTTTGAATAATTGTAGTTCAGACACTGAGCGATTCCCAGTTCTTCCAAAGAGGACACAGACAAGATGCAGCGTCAGTGGAAACCCATGGTTATTATACCTGGTTGGGTGAAACCATTTCAAGAAAGAGGAGACTGCGTTTTGTTTTTTTAACCGACACGATTCAATGTAAACAGCGCCCCTCTGTGCACAATCTCGTACGTAACATTTATCAGCCCATCGAAACACGAGGTCAGTTAATGGGCTATATTTCTCGTTAATACGTTCCAATGATTTCCTCTGAAGAATTGCTATTAGTGCCAGACGCCCAAGATATATTATATCTGAGAAGATATACAAGCATAGCCTAGACCTATTAACAGTTTATTGAAAGTTGTTGTCCATTATAGGCTAGGTGTTCAAATCATTAGGATGAGGAATCAAAGGCTTTTGGAGTTTGAGCATCCTTTTTCATCAGCCATGCAGAACCACAGCGTTGAAGGCTTCAGATGGAAGAGGTGAAGAGATAGGAGGTTTAGATGGAAGGCCCATGCCCCAGTCAAAATGAGGTAGGCACATGCAAAGTGAATGGGAGTCGAATAGTACAGCCCTGGTATGTGGTTACAGTCTCAAATAAAATGGATGAAAAGACCTTGTTCTCTATCCTTTTGAAAACTGGAAAGAGGAAAGATAAACCACTAACAGGTTATTTATTATTTGTTCTTCTGTTTTTCTCTTAACAGTTAATCGTATGTTACCATTTTCAAAGGAACAAAATTAAAACAGAAAGACCAGTACATCAGATAAAGCCACAGGTAACATGAAGAAGTTAGGGATGGATTAAAATGAAACATTAAAAATATACTGTGATACCTGCTTAAGAAATCCTTAGTGCAGACAATCAGAAAGTTGCACTGATGCTTATGGTGAAGCTAAAGCTACAGAGCGATGGTTTGATTGACAGGACAGCAACCAAGCTACAATGTGTGAATAATTATATGGAATGTCTCACTCAAAACATACACATTTTGGGATTCACATGTGGGATGGTGAGTGTGAGCGAGAACAATGGTGACTCCTGGAAATGTAGGAGAATACATATAAATTTCCTTCACCAACAATGTCGGAGATAAGTTCAAAGGCACTTTGGTTGTTCACTGTTCACAATTCTGGGAGACTGAAGGGAAGGCAGAGGGAGTACTGGAGTCTGGGGTACAGAGAAGACAATGACATGAAGATAGCAGAGCTTTCAATTAGCTCAAAGCAATAGCAGTTCCACTGAGAGTTGAGCTCAAATCACTGGATTCAAAGTCTAGAGTGCTAACTATTACACCATGGATCCTCCTTAACCTGCACAGAAAAAAAAAAATCATCCTTACAACCTCCTTGAAATATGTACAAAATGTTCATTATGTCAGAAGGTGGCAATTGAGTCACAAGACTTGGGGTTTTACCAAGTATTGAGCAGTGTGTGCAATACTGCAGTACTGAGCATATATTGACTAGATTGCTTAACATTTTAGTTGAAGCTAAGTTTCATCCAGAAGATTAGCAGATTGGGAGGGTTCAATCATCTTTTGGCAATAGACTACAAGGAGATTTGAATTTGGAAAAACTGACTTCAGATTCAGACTATTGAATGGTGATGGTAGAATGATTTCTAATTGATACCACACATATGTGAAGCAACCACATGTTAACAGTGACTTACTTTCTGAAGATGAGAATAATGTTTTGATTAGTTGTAGGAGGTGAGTGATAGGCAGATCACTGCTGTCCCATTTGTTAGAGCAGTGGTTCCTATTGTCGGTCCTAAGGACCCACTGTGTATGCTGGTTTTTGTTCCAACCACAACTGAAACCCCAGAATCCTAACAAACTGTTAATTTTCATAATTGTTCATGCCTTTCATGATTAGAGAGATAATTTGCCATTATAGCTACGCATGTCATGAAAAAAACCTCCTAAATTCACATTGTGCCATATTGCGGGCAATAGCATAAAGACAAGTAAAATGGTTTAACTCATTATTAAAGTCCAGGGTGATTTGGGACACAGGACCACTAAAACTAAACCTTTGGTAGATAATGAAGGATTCAAAGACAACGCTAATTATAATGAGCCACACCTGCATTGTGTTACTAAGCATAAGGAAAAAAAATCAGGAGCTTAATCATGTGTTGGTTTAAGGAGTGTATTGATTCACCTCAGTCTATAATTTGATCAGGTGTGAAAACTTACGTCTTACGTAAAATGAGTTGATTTTGCAGTTGTAGTTGGAATAAAAAACAGTATACACAGTTGGTCCCCAGGCCAAACACTGGGAACCAATGTGTTTGAGCATGTGTGAAGGTTCTCTTCCAAAGCTGACAACCTGAATGGTGTTTATAGGGTTGCTCATAACACTATTTCCTGATGGGGATTTTCTGTTGCTCACTGTATTCAAATGTACATGTAAGACATACATCTTTAAAATCAAGGACGACCACGAAGGGACTCGAACCCTCAATCTTCTGATCCGAAGTCAGACGCCTTATCCATTAGGCCACGCGGTCTAGGTGATTAAAACATTGGGACAGGTTTGGTAATTTAATTAATTGATGAATAGTGTGGGACGCTATTGATGCAAAAAGCACCAAGATTACCAGATCTGTCAATTATTCTGTAAACGTTGAAGTGATATAATATATTAAAACATTTTGGTGTATTATAACTAACACACGATCTATGCGCATCTTAAAGTTCAATCGAAGTGCGTTGAGCAGTACGTATGGTGCATCTGCTTCTTTCATCTATGTACAGTATAATGTGCAGCAGAGGGCAGCATTGCTCCTCTTAAAATCATGTCTGTGGAATGGAGAGCTGATAGACTGTTTGTGCCGTTTACAGGCATATGCCTGACATAATCACTTCAAAGTTTTGAAATGTGTTCTGTGGTTGTCTTTCCAAAGCACGGATAGTTTGTGGAAACTTGAATTCGAAATGTTTCCCGTTTTGCTCATCCTTACATGCATGTCGAAACACATAAGAGGGTCATTCGAAGACTGGCCATTTTCCTGTTGGACAGAACCTTACGTGTAAAAATACCCCCACTACCAATGTAGCGGTTTGTAAGATTTGAGATTTAAAATTAACGGATTGCAGCTGGTATTAATTTTTGATTATGTATTTTTAAAAATAATCAAATCACCCGATTTAGGCCACTTATACCCAGTTAGCAAGTGTGTCATTGCTAGCTAGCAGTCCGTCCCAGGCACAGTTGCGGGTTCACCAGTTTTTTGTAAGTCAGCACTGCTGTGGTTCGCAAGCCTCAAGACCCGACCACACATACCACTGTCTTCTCCTCTTTAAATGAGCTGATCATCATCTCGACTCAAACGCCTCTACCGTCCACAGGAAGACCCGCAGATCTGGACGATAAGAGGATCACTACTGAACCGATGAGCTAGGAGCGGAATACTCTTATCTTCCGAATGTCTACATTTGGAATATTGCCTTAAAGTGCACACAAAATTAAATGTACAAATGATTGTGTGTAATTCTTGAATGTACCCTTTCATCTGGTAATATTATGCTGTGTGTAAACGCAGCATCTTAATTGTAAGAAATGTCAACACACCTCCAGGCCTAGAGTCGAAATTTCCCCCAGAAAAAAGACAAAAACTCAAGAAGTATAAGTATCAATAAAGCATATTTGTTAATGTAGTAAGAAAGTAAGCAAGCAAATAAATTAAATACTCAATAAAAGATTCTGTAATATACATAAATTAAAGGTAACACGAACAGTATAGTGCATTCTTTAAGGAGAACGACAAGAGTTTAGAGTTACACAATCAACCTCAACTTCATATGGAAGTCCTGGAACAAATGTTTCCAATTGGTCCATTGCTTATTTATATTTCAGAAAATATGGATTACAAATGAGACACTAAGATATATGTAGGATAGAGATGTAATAATTTTTTGTTTCACTTACTGTAGTCTCAAATGTTTACTTTTACTCTTCAACCGTGAGGCTGTATATTTGCTGCCTTTGTGATAACACTCTCCGGTATTTTTGCATGGATAGGTAGAGCTGTTACTACACCCTGTTGCATAGCTACAAAGTGAAACTGCCTCAGATGGACAGGTCACACAAACATTTATTGGATTGACGACACCTGAAATGCAAAGCACATTAGCTGTTAATCCCCATACTACAGTACACTCTTTCTTTCCTTAATGAGTGGTCCCTTTAACATCAAATGTGCCCTTTAAAATAGATGACCTATTACAGCAACATTTCATCATTCTCTCTCTCAAACAGAATATGAACATAAAAAAATCCACATATGGATAGATGTCAGATTTGCACTGACAGTAGAATACAACTATCAGTTGTTGACGATGTAGCAGAAGGGGAATCTTCGTTTCTGCAAATATATGATTGACCAGAATTTTAGAAAGTAGATTGGCATGACTTAGTTTTACAGTAACAGCGAAGCATACACCATTATGTAATGCAGAAACACTATAGAGGAGTATCACAGTGTACATGTAGTGCTGCCATCCCAACCCTGAAGAATCTGAAGCACTTGGATTTCAACAAGGATTTCCACCATAAATAATTACATGAGGACTATGAATTTCCCAGTGGAATTTCTTCATTACAGTTGAGCACATTCATAAATTCCATTAATGAAGGAAAGCAAAAGAAAGCAATCAACGAAGAAAACTCATGTCATGATATCAACACTCCAGTGGGGACTCAGGAGCCATGTGTTTACAAGTGAGATTCCCACAAAGGCGAGATGACTAATCCATATTTTAACTAGAAGAAAATCAATTCTAATGAAGAACCCAACAATGAGAATGGTCTGGTCACTCTGTCACTGACATTTCAACACAGCTGCTGCACAGCTGATGCAGTTTTGGTCATGGCCTGGACTTAAATGAGTACCTTTGGTAACTTAAAACAGAGATCTAATGTGTCAGTTTTTTTTTTGTTTTGCACTGTTGGCCCTCAGAATATTGATTTAAATACTGTTGCATTACTCTTAAAATCACATTTTATCAGCACCCACAAAAATTCTGCCAAATGTGTAGGGTACCCTTATTTGTGTTAGTTAGCTCAAATTAAAAATAACTTGTGGCAAGATATGTTTCTGAATTGGGTAACAACCACTTTCACTTAAAACATCAAATGGATATGCATTAACTAATTAGGAGCAGGGTCATTGTTTACATTCTGGACAGCCTCAATGCTTATTGGAATGTTGATATACAAGTTTTGCGCTGCTTCTGGTGGGAGACACCAACGAAGAAGGAACGCTTCTAGTTCTCAATAATATGAAGCAGGTGGGGATGTACTATACCATCTCTGTTGCAGAATATTCCACAATGCTTCACTGCCATGGAAGGTGTTTGGCTTCTTTATGGTGTTCCTGAAACAAATATCTTTTAGGAGAGTGTTTTCATATGGGGTACCATGGTCCTGGAATATGGGAGAAACAAGATTTAAAGGTCAAGGTACAAAAATGTCTTTGTCACAGCTGGGGACAGGCAGTACTGGTTGAAGGCTTCTTTTGGCTTTATCAAGCCACAGACCCTTCCAGATGTAGGAAAAGGCATATAACTCAACTCATGGGGACCACATTACTTTCTTCTACAGCTCAGAGGTGCATGTTTTGTGCTCATTACTCTAAGTTGTGCATTGTTGCTCATTGGTCTTGGTTAGTCCCAAACAGTTTTAGAATGGCTGGCCTATTAGAATGCTCACAGCTTTTGTGTTGAGATTGTGTCACAGAAATGTGGACATTTTATTTTTGTGATCATTGCTGAGACCGTTACTTTGTGTTTTTGGCAACTATCCAGGTAAATGTACATCTACAACTGCATGTGAACTTCGACCTTTGGTGACTGTTCAGATTTCCTTATGCAATTTTTTGCAGTCACCGTGACTGATGCACCTGCAATCTAATCACAAAGTGTTTGACCTCTTTCAAGCTTTGTTAGATCTCTGATGTCGCATTAGAATCTTGCATGTCATAATGTTTGATTTTAAAAGTCTTTTACAGCAGAAATATATTCGTAATTGGTATCGCATTAATATGTAAGTTCTTCCAAGTACAAGTAAGTAGTATTCAGCGTTGCCATTGTTTTGTCTTCTTTCTGAACAAGGGATTAATTGTATATAGATCTATGCTGCGACAAAATCAATTCTGAGTCCAATACATACTGGACAAAAAGCAGTGTTAAATAGTATGGAACATCACCGCTGCGCTTGTACACACGCCTCATTGGTGTCCTTTCACACGTCTGGGATTCACGTAGAAATACATTTACCAGGCGTCCTTGCCATTCT